CTCACGGATGTATTTCTCAGGCATCTTCTTCTCCACCTGATGAAAGGAGACAAACAATTTATTGAGCTGTTGGATCATAAGAAGTGATCACGAAAAAATATACATGCCAAGATAGAGTCAGTCCTATTTAACCTTCGTTTCACTCGGTCTATTACAGATAACAGCAAAAGTCTTTAAAGTACATTAAAATACAGGATGACTAATGAAAGTACTGTAACAAAAGCATGTCAAGAAAAGGAAAGGAATGATTGTTTAAAGGGCTTTACCACTCCCTGGATTCTCTTCTGTGTTTGGTATTGATACTTCACCTCTTCTGCCGCAGAGCTAAAAACACACACATTTCCATACACTCTCAAAAAAGGTACAAAACTGTCACTGAGGCGGGACCCTAAGGTACAAAAGTTACATTTTGTACCTCTAAAAGTACATATTACTACTTTAAAAATATGCTTTAGTGCCTAAAATACATACATATTAGTACCTTTTAAAAGGGTACCGCCTCAGTGACTCACTTTTGTACCTTTTTTCTAAAAGTGTATAATAAAATGATAATAGTATGCTCAAGCATTACTCTATACAAGCAGCATAAGAGAAACAGAGATCAGGATTCATCAATGCTCCATGTCATCTCAGGTTAACAATCAGTTAATTCATTTTGATATACATTCAAACATGCAAAAGCATATAATAATTCATGCATTTCTCAAGCAACACAGTTTTAAGTGGAAAGAAAAAAAAGAAAGCATTTGATATTTGATCATCTTTACCAATGGTTCACTTGAATTAGCAATTATAGGTTTTAACCTACAATTAAAAAAAAGAAAAGAATATTGACCTTTTGACCCCTCAGAGGGCAAACAATAACTACCACTATATATGATATAATTAATTTTGTAATAATACATTTATAATATAATATCATTTTAAAGTTTTCAATTTTATTAATGAACAAAAATAACTGTAATTACCATACCACGTTCTTATCCTTAACCAATGTTAATGTCAAAGCTTATATTATATCTGAAATTTATTATTGTTTCCAGGCAGAATCTGGGTATTTGGTGCAATATGTGTCCATAAAATATATATGATTGGTCAAGTTTAAGTATATACCTTAGGCCCTGTAACTGATCACCATTTATTTTCAGTTGTTCACCATTTGAATCAGGTCACATAAGCTGCATGCATAATTAGAAAAGAGTTTTACATGGAGTATAGCGTATCACACTGCAGGCCTTGTCAACTTCCAACTACCCAGAGGACAGTAGTGACATGAAGGGATCAGTTATAGTTCAGCTACTGTATGTAATAGGGTGTATTAGCAGAGCTCCAACAATGTTATTATATGTTATACATGATGTTACTATTTTATTACAAGTAGCTTTAGTATTGCCGTGAACATCATGATTAGCTGTGACGATTCGTTAAACTTGAATTTGCTGCTGTATTTTGTTTTTACCTTACCTGGTGTATTCCCGAACAACATATTTAGACTCAGTACTGAGGTATTCTTGACCGAAATGCTTGTGTCTGGTAACAACTGCAGCCATATTTGGCAACCCCAAGAACCTATGAATAAAACCTGGAACAAAAAACATGTAGCGTCTTTGCACACAAGACAAAACAAAATGCATTCATTGAAAGATGCATAAATTCCAATGCTTAAGTTTCACATTATTGGGGAAACAGTTTCGTAGCACAATTTGCAGAATCCGGCCTACTCCTGATATGATTTAGGTGTTAGGAAAGTGGACCTGTTTGTGGAGATGAAGAGGAGGGGGTGTTCTGGAGCTTTGGGCCTCAAGGAAGCCAAAACTCATGGCAGTTTAAAATTAGAGGTTGGGGGTTGGGATATCAGACAGTCCAAGGAGATGGGTACAGTATTCCATGGTAATTTATACTGTACAGTGTACATTAATGACAAGCTATTATTGTGTAAATGTCCTGAAATATTGAAAGATAACCAACTGCTCATGACTGTTTATCTTCTATTATGGATAAATGAACTACACTAAAATACAAACAACAACACATTCCTCATTTCATTTTGATGAATAATTACACGAACAAATAATCGTGCATTCTCAATGCAACATTATTATCTCATTCATATATGAAGCCCACATACAATAGCATCTACTGTGCATATTAAACATTATATATATATATATGTATGCACAGATTCCATTAACATATTTGGCAGACAACATGTAAAAACTAACTGTTCGTTCTTTGCATATTGCATCAACAAGTGCGACAAATATTTCAAAGGTAATTTCATTCAGCAGGTCAATTTTACGAGACAACTTTTCCACAAACAAAACAGTGTAAAAGTTTGTCCAGTTATTCATTCACCCATATTCACAAAGCACTGAAACTGGTTTAATTGCCAACTTTTTATGAATCCTTTCAAAGCGCCCAGTCAAGCAAACATCATTCGAGACAGATCAACATCAAACCAAGGTAAAGTTCAAAAGTTTCCTTCAGCCTCAACGATTTTGTATTTCCACAAGGACAACTCCGCATTATAATTTCGGATCAAAAGTGTGGAAATAAGGGGCCAGACATAGGCTACTCACCCCAGGAGAATACAAGAGCACAACACGGAGGTAGATGAGCCTCTGCCTGCCTGTGAGAGACCAGCTGATGAAAAGCAAAATATTACCCATGCGGAATGTTGCCTCTCCCATATCCCATTTATGGACAGGCATTAGACTATATATAGCATTCACACTAACTTCCTACATCATTTCGCACTGATATTAAGATACCAGGCAGACGTTTAAATTGACGCTGGATACTGAATGAGTTATAAAAAACAAGAGATAGGTGAGTCAAATGGAAATCATTAATAATTTTAAAGTAAATATAGGCTATTAATTGGTTTGAATTAGTGGAAAGACTCAATTCCCAAATACGTAATGCACTCTCTGGACACAATTTTTGAAGCCACAGTTTTAACATTT